GTATATATACAAATATATAAATATATATGTGTATGCATATATTTGTTTGCATATATATATATATATGTTCGTCTTTTTCTTCCTTTCCTTTTCACTTATATATAGACAAATTCCTAATATTTTGTATAGATCCCATAAGACTTTCATCTTACACCAATACTCATGTCAGCAATATTAAGAAAGTAAAACAAGAATAACTAATTAAGGTGTGACTAATTTAAAGGAAGAAATTAGACCCATTAGTTTATTATCTATGTGGCTTTTTTTTATTTATTCACAGATGCATACTCTTTCAAATAGAATAGAAAAGAAAAGAGAGGCACTCCATTATGACATGGTGATATCCAAATGAAAGAAGGATAAGTTTCCTATAATTATGGAAGGAAATTCCCTCCAGCTGTGGATTGAAATGGTTTTGTTGATTGAAGAGGAGAGAGAGAAGAGAAATGGATAGAGAGAAAATGCAATGTGTGTGACCCAAGGAAAAAGGAAAGTTTCAATGATAGTAATTAGGGAAGATGAGAAAATGAAACAAGCATTAATAATTAACGGGGGAGGGAAAGTCTTTAAAGGGAATGTAAGGGTAAGAGGGAAAGTGGACCGAGGCATGTTTGTCTAGAAATATGAAAAAGAAGATTAAAGGACAAGGTGCTGCAGATATTTTCTTTACTGTATACCACTCTCTGAATCAACCAAAATGTCCTTGCCATTGTATAGATGTGTATTTGCGAATAGAATGAAGGAGGGTTCTCTTCTGGTTTCTCTTTTTGTTCAAGAACTTAGATATGTTTTAAAGTATGTGAATGACCTATGACATAGAGTATGCTTCCTTAAATATATAGATGGCCTAGGGACCATATTAAATTCTTGAACATGCTAGTTTTAAATTGGAATTTACTAGTTTTTTTTTTTTTTTCATTAATTTTCTTTTCCTTTGGTTCTCTCTAAAATTTGTAATGCATAATACTAGTTTAGTAAGGTCTGATAAAGCTATTGAGGGGATAAAACAGTCCTCATGAAATTAGGGGCTCCATTTTCTTGAAGTTGAAGGTCTAAAATTTGTAATGCACAATACTGGTTTAGTAAATGATACTCTTGTTTGCTTTGCTGAGGCTTTTAAAGTAAGGACTAAAGCTTCCAAAGTAAGGACTGAAGCTTCATTAGTTAAGGCAGAGAGGTATAAGAAAATGAAACATACTCAAGAGGCAACTATGAGAGGTATAAGAAAATGAAACATACTCAAGAGGCAACTAACCCATCATGTAATCCATACTCTCTAAGTAATTACATTGAATGCTTTGAGGGTCTTGATGAGATAGACGATGACACATATTTGAAAGCAACTGAAAAGTTCAATGAATTGCACTATAGAGAATTGTTCATTAAGATGAGTATTTCCAGGATGTTTGATTGGTTGAAGAGCTTGGACTGACTTGGATGGTTAATGAATGCATGGTTTAGTTTTTGGATGCATGTGACTTAAAACGCGTATTTGATTTTATGTGTTATTGAACAATTTCCTTATACCATTTTTTTTTATTTTTTTTTATTTTTTATGCATGTAACTTTATGTTATATTCATGTGGAGGACAATTTATTATGCTCTATATTATGAAAACTTTGTTTTAGTATAACTTTTACTATGTTTAATTTATAATAGTTATTGAAAATTTGTCTAGATTCTTAGAAAATCAAGATGGAAAACACATATTAGAGTGACATATTGATGTGTGGCTGACAGTGTCAATAATAAAATACCACTCGCAATAGTACGAATCCTTTGCAGGATAGGGCTACTTAAAGGGTGTCGAACCTCAGGAACTATAGTGGTTTATTAAGTGTTCAATGAATACTATTTCAATTCAGAGAAAAAGATTGTTTAATTTGGTGTGTCACGAACATAAATAAAATTAAACTAAATAAAGGAATGAGATAGAGAAAGAAGGTTTTAGGAATTGACTTCACCACGAACCTCATATTATGATCAACTATTCAACTTTAGGATTTCAATAATTACGTATTATATGGAATTAAACTCAATAACATTCGTTTAATTCATATTTAAATAAAGATGTTTCATGAATTTTAATTAATAATAACCTATCTTCGGTTGGCACGAATTATCTACATACCTACTTCTAACTAATATTGTAGTATAACTCATCTTCCCTATATATAGACTATGAAAACATTTATTCATGAAAAACATTTGAACACCATTACATGATATCTATTCTTATTGTTTGAGAAGCATTTAGCCGCCAATTTCGTACACTAAGAATATGTTGTATATAATTAATGAACAATTAAATCTAAGACAAGGTATTAATCATTTAAAAACTATGTATTTCATTAAAAACCAATTGATCTAAGTCAATTGCTCATAATCATACAATCAAAATACATAAACAGTTAAATTCTCAAAGTTTAGAACAATCAAACTATAGTATTCGAATTCGGGTTACATAAATGCTCTAGGAAAGGAATTAACTACTCATGACGATGCAAGATATCATATGTGTTGTTGTGGTCTTCATCATCATGGATTGCACTTCTTTTCTAAGGATCTTCACCTTCAATGCTTCATTACAACTACCAGAAACCCCAAAAGCATCCTCTAGATTTATAATAATGAAACCTAAAGCGAGAGTAAGGAAAGCCTTTCTGTGGCCTTCTACATCCTTTTATAGAAGCAACTGACTTCTAATAAGGATTGGATGGGTTTTAGGTCTTCTGGGGTCATCTGGGTTCGTCTGGGACGAATTAGGACTTAATAAGAATTAATCTCGCAACTTAAAAATATGACTTAATATCAAAGTCTTGAGCAGAGAAGCTTCTGCTCGAGGTTTTTGGCATGTGCTCGAGCCTTTTGACTTGTGCTCGAACAGAAATTCTATACTTAGTCAATTTTCTTCAAATCTTTTCTGAAGCGTCTTTTTCATCAACACTTAGGGGCTCAAATATGCAATAATCAGCCCTTATCATACATCGTCTAGTGTATCAAATGAAGATTTTGATGACCTTTTAGATTGTATGTGCTTGAATTTGATGCAAGAGTATGAAGATTCCTTTAAATCGAAGGTACCAAAGAGAACTTCAGGGTTAACAGGTCATGAGTATATTCAGAAATTGTTAAATGACCATGCCGGTTTATGTTTTGATATATTACGAATGGATAGAGAAGTCTTTCTGTAATTATGTCGAATATTGAGAGAACATGAATTGTTGGAAGACACATATACAATTTCAATCGAGGAGTCAGTGACAATGTTTTAGTTCATTATAGGACATAATATTCGTCATGTAGTGGTAGCTGAACGATTTTAACATTCTAGCAAAACAATTTCTAGACATTTTAAACTCATATTGAGAGCAATATGTCGCCTTAGCAAATTCCTCATACGTCCACCACAAAGTAGTGATGTGCTTTCTTATATACTTCATAATCCAAAATATCATCCTTGATTTAAGAATTGCATTAGAACACATATAAGTGCTTTTGCAGCTGCTAGAAAACAAACTCCTTATAAAGGAAGAAAGTCTATAGTGACACAAAATGTTATGTGTGCTTACTCATTTGATATGCTATTTACTTTCATTTACGCGGGTTAGGAGGGTACGACAAATGACTCGAGATTTTTTATTAATGCAATTACTAGAGCTGTTGCGTGATTCCCAATACCAGATGATGGTATTACTTTTGTATTTTTAATATTAATAATAGTATGATACTAACCCTAATAAAATTTAAATAATATTTTGCAGGGAAATACTATGTAGTTGATTCTGGTTACCCATGCACAAAAGGATTTTTGCCTCCATAGCGTGATCAAAGATATCATCTACAAGATTATAAGGGTAACAATCGGCAATCGCGTGGTGCAAAGGAATTATTTAACTATTGCCATTCATCATTTCGCAATGTCATTGAACGTTGTTTTGGAATACTAAATGCTCATTTTCCCATTTTAAAGCTTATGCCTTGTTATAAGTTGGTTAGACAACGATTTATAATAACTGCTTGTTGCACGATTCACAATTTCATTCATTATTCATCAAAATATATTAGATGATCATTTTTTTTTATGGAGATGGGGGAATAGTAGCAATAGTAGTGCCGGTGTACTGAATGCACTTAATTTATCTGTGATGGTGCAACACAAATGGTAACCTTTAGAACTCATTTGACGAATCAAATGTGGGCATCATTTGGAGGCAATGCTAGATAAAGTTACTTTTATTATTTTCCAATGTTTTTTCTTGATTAGCTATTTATGTAATTCTCTAATGTTTTGTTTTGGTTATGTATCACTAAACTTAATATTTGTACAACTAAAAGTGCATATGACATTTGAAGTAATTCATGTAACTCTTTTATTATATTTAAATTTAATCAAGTTATTTAGGAAAAAAAAAAAATTTAATCAAGTTTTAATTACACTTGATATATATTGTATTTGCGCAACTTTTATTAAGTTAAGAATACTAGCTAAAATGAATGCACCTCCAACACTTATATAAAAAAAAAAATACATTAATAGTTAATATCATAAATTAAAGAAATAAAAGAGTGAGGTACAAGAATATTTTTATTTATTTTCTAAGTACATAAAACTATTTTCATAAATACAATTAAGCAATTTTATGAGTTTTTGTTTTCGAAAATTATTTTGCAATTTTTTTTAATCAGGTTTAAAATCTGAAAAAACTTTTAATTTTTTAAAAACAAGCTTAAATTTTTTTCACATTATTATTTTTTCATACATGAGCTATTTAAGTGAGGAGGACCGCTTTTTTAAGTATATCACGAGACATGATGACACTATTTAACTGCAACACTCGTGATTTAATGCAGTGGGATCCGGACAACTTCCAATAATACACAATCTTACTAGATCAGATCCGCCATGGGGATTTGTTCATTAGCATTCGGACCTCTTTCCACGTGGCACGAAACCAAATGCTAAAAACATAAATAGTAGAGTAAAAATATCAATCAATTTGGTTCAAACTATCACCACTCCTCCGTCTCTCTCCAGCACTCTCTTGCACCTATATGATAAACGGACGGTCTTGGAGACACTGAAAAACTGAAACCGTTCACATCTCTTTCTCTCCTTTCCTCTCTCTCTCCATATATATCTATATGTGTATCTATATGCTGTAATGGATTCTCTGCGTGTATTGGGCGTCTGCTCTACTGCTACTGCTACTGCTACTTGTGCATCCACACGAAACCATCTGAGAGGGCAATCCAGATTCCTCCTCTACCGTCAAAGCCAACAAAATGCTCTCACTTTCTTGAGGCCGAGAACTACTCTCCCTCTCCATAGTCTTGAATTTGTGGATCAATCTAGACACTCTTCTCGAATCGTCTGTGGTGTTTCTTCTACTGAAACCAGGTGATTCATTCAATTGTGGTTCAATTCCAATGTGTTTGATTGTTGAGAAAGCTTTATTAGGGGAAGAGATGGAATTTATTGTTTTTTTTAAGTTCGTGGTTTTTAATGCCCTTTTTGTATTTCTAAATAAAATGGTTATTAGAATTGATTGAAGTTTAATCAATTTGGATAATATTTGGTTAATTAATAACCTTATAAACAGTTCCTTTTGGGTTTCTTGATATCTAGCACCAAACATGACTATTTTAAAAAACAATCAAATTGAACCCTGATTATTAATCTCTCATTTTTGTCTTTATTTCTTTTGGGTCTGCTTAAGGGAGTTTCATCTGGTTAACAAATCTGTATTTTTCTCACCAAAGAAAAAAAAAAAAAAATCTCCTCAGTCCTCCTGATAAAATCAGCTCGAATGATCAAAATCAAACAATCTCTTATGGTATGTTTCTTGCACTCTCTAAGTGATCATACAAAAGTACTTATTCGAATTAGAAAGCAGTGTTTTTTGTTTTTTGTTTTTTTTTATTAGTTTTAATTTTATAATTCTTTCTTAGTCGCTCAAAAGTAAATTCATACAAATAGAACAACAGAATGTTTTTTTTTTTTTTTTTTTTTTTTTTTTTTTTTGGCAGAGAGGAAGAGAAGCAGAAGATGGGATCCGGGCCACGGCGTGGGAAGGTGCTACTACGCGTCCGACTTAATCACCAAGTTGAATTTGGCGAGAGTGTTGCAATTTTGGGATCGGCAAGAGAATTTGGCTCATGGAAGAAGAAAGTGGCGATGAGTTGGACAAAGGATGGATGGTTTTGTGAGTTGGAACTAAAGGGGGGAGAATCTGTTGAGTTCAAATTCGTGTTTATGGGAAAGGACAAGAGTGTGGTTTGGGAAAGTGGTGATAACCGTGTGTTGAAGCTGCCAAAAGGAGGGAGTTGTCAGGTAGTTTGCCGATGGAACATGACTTCTGAGGCTGTGGATTTGTTGCCTTCAGTTTCAGAAGAGCATGGTGAGGAAGTGAGGGGTGATAATAGGTCTGCAGTATCTAATGGTTCTACTAATTCGGAGGGGGTGACGAGTCCTTTTGTGGAGCAATGGCAAGGGAAGGCTGCATCATTTATGCGATCAAATGAGCATCATAACAGAGAATCAGAGAGAAAGTGGGACACTTCGGGACTTGAAGGGATTGCTTTAAAGTTAGTGGAAAGTGATCGGACTGCCCGTAATTGGTGGCAAAAGGTACCACTATTGACTGTTTTTAGTCGTTTTCTTTTTCTTTCTCGGGAAAATTTGCATGCATATGCATGCTTACCTTTGTGCACATGCACACATGCATATACATGTATGTTCTGTTTTGACTCCTTGCTATGTTTTTATCTTTACAACAAGGTTTATTACTAATATTATGACTAATAAGCCGCAAATTTCATATTACATTGATATAATTACATTTACTAACCACAAACTAATTTTATTCCCCGCAAGTACATGTGAGAATATATTACCAAAAGGCACTAAGGCTCAGAGACAAAATATAAGGGGAATGCCCCGGGCATGTTCAATTCACGTATAAAGCTCTAACTCCACCAGGACAGAAGACAGAAGATAAGAGAAAACTACACAGGTTTAAAGCAGAACTAAACAAAAACTTAATTGTTCTGCTTAGAAAAGAGGGACCTAAAGTAATGGAGCCTCTTAAGATCATTTTGAAGGTCATAATCTTTAAATCCCCTATGACCCATGTGTCCACAATTGCCAGCACCATCAAGCCCAGCAATGAACAAAACCACCATTTGCTTGCCCACCTAGCCATATCCCTCAGTTCAGCAACACTGCAAATAGCATAGAAAGGGAACCTCCATATATTTGCCATATGAGACCAACTTACATCATTCTTCAGCAATCCTGAATATCTGGAACCAAACAAGTTGCAAACCAGCAGCCTCCTCTTAAACAAGACCATCATTTGAAAGTTAAAGTTTGACTATTTGAAGAGCCCATGCTCTTTGTAACCACCTGCTATCCTTAGTCATTAAGACCTTTCCATACCAAGACCTAAGTTTCACCAAACCCATGATTTCCTTCTGTAGGGTTACAACATCTACGTAAGAATTAGAAAACAATCTCCCATGTCTCTCCTTCCAGATCACATAGACAGTAGCAGCAAGTATGATTTTAATTAATCTTGACTAAAATAACACATGAAGGACCATACCCTTTTGACTAAGGAGCATCTGAAGAACAAGTGACTGTGGTCTTCCTCTTTGTCTCTACAAAAGACACAAACTTATTTTCTTAATAAACCCAAACTTGGCAAGCCTGTCTTGAGAATAGAGATTTCCTCTAGCTGACATTCGTAAAATGATTGCATGTCTGGGAATATATCCTTTGAACCATACAACATTAGTGCAGCTCAACTGTCACCTACCTGGAATAATCAAGAAACAAGAGATCATGAATCACCCTCTGGTTGTTGACGTATACAAATAATCAAAAACAAGAGATCATGTGTCACAAGATCAACAATTCATTCCGGGTGTTTAAACCCCAGTATCGTTGCAAAATCTGCACACCACACACGGACGCTATTGTATAACTCTAGAGGTGGTGGACATTCCATGCACTTGATGTTCCGTTGCATTCGGCTTTCAACATATAAGGGTTGATTACTTTCTTTTTCAATTGGAAATCAACATGTCTTTTTAAAATATTATTTTTCTCATTTAGCTCGTAACATTTGGCAACCATAGAAATCTCAAGATCAAAGCAATCTTGATAGTTTTGGAGAGCTCAATACTAGATAAGATGGAATAATAACTCAAGTTTCACAAATCACTAAAATTGTTAGGTCAATAGGACTTAGGTTGGCATTTTTCGAGATCAAAATTGTAATTTTGTTTATTGTTAGAATATTTTGGGTCATTATGTAAGTAGCTGAGTCTTGTATCTTTATATAAGCCACTGTAGGCTTATGGTTTTATACATATGAGATACACATTTCTTGTAGCCACCATGATCTCTCTCTCATCAGTTTGAACATAGTATCAGAGCGGTACGAAACAATAGGAAACTAAGATTGTGGTTGTGATTGCATCTGTGGTGTTCTTATACAAATCGAAATCGGGATTGAAGTCGATTCTGTTCTTCCCCGAAGGTTTGGCAGTCGTTCTATTTAGAGCCGGAGACTTGAAGCTGTCGTTGTGTTCAGCGCTTCTCGTCCGTCGTTCTCAGATCTAAAGCCCTTTGTTTTGTTGGCTGAGGCTGCCTTGGTTGTCGCAAGTTGCAGAGGTTCCATCATCGCGAACTCTCTCTGCTCGGTTGTTAGATCGTTGCTTGTGTTGGGTTGCCGTCACCGCTGTAAGGGATAGGGTGTGTACTAGCCTTGATTCTCCATTGCGAACCTCGGGTGTTGGAGTTTATTGTCAGCGGCAGAGTTCTGGTTCTTGCCGGCGCTAATTGTGAAGGAGAAGGGTGGTGTTTGGCTGCAGGCGCGAAGCTATCCCAACCTTGGTTTACAAAAACCGGAATAGCAGAGAACTGGTTTTGATTTGGCCCGATTGCCCAGATCCAAACCCGTTTGACCAGATCCGGATTCGGTTTTTTTTTTTTTTTTTTTTTTAGGTTCGGTTTTCTTCTCTCTCTTTCCTTCTATATGGCTGCCGGTTCAGACCTGTTTTCTTCTGCTTCTTTCAATCCTCCCATGACTTCGGTCAAGCTCAATGGCAAGAACTATATTTTATGGGCCAAGTCAGTAGCTATTTTTCTGAAAGCCAAAGGCTTTGGCTCTCATTTGGTTAAGGATAAGCCTAAAAACAGTGATGCAGATTTCAGTTCATGGGAACAAAAGGATGCTCAGATCATTTCCTTAATGCTGAATTGTATTGAACCTGATATCAGCTCCAACCTGTTGTATTTGGATACTGCCAAGGAGATCTGGAACTGCCTCAAACAGCTATATTCAGGTACTGGTAATATCACCAGAATTTATGAGGTGTGCAGACAATTCTTTGACCTCCAGCAAGGTACTCACAGTCTCGCAAAATACTTCTCCCAGTCAATGGGAATTTGTGAAGAAATGAACTTGTATCAGCCTAACACCTCTGATGTGAAGAGCATGCAACAACAACGTGAGGATTTTAATGCTGTTCGGTTTCTCACGGGGTTGTCACCCGAATATGAATTTGTTCGTGCACAAATTTTGGGTAGCCCTGCACTTCCCTCTCTTCCTGATATGTTCTCCATACTCCAGCTTGCTACTCTATCTAGTGGCGCTTCCGGGAGTACTTCAAGTGGTGTCACTGCTCCTCCTAGCAGTGAACGTTCTGCATTAGTTGTGAACCAGGGTGGTTATCAGCCTTCTCGTGGCAGTGGCGGTCGTTTTACCCGTGGACGTGGTCGTGGCCGTGGTCATGGCAGAGGCAGAGACTCAAAACTCTACACTCATTGCAGTCTTACTAATCACACTGTTAATTACTGTCGGGATCTTCATGGGAAACTGCCACTTTCTTCCTATGCACATCAAGTAACCTCTAATGAAGGGGATTCTTCTTTCTCTGCCACACCAACTGCTCCACAAGTGGCTGTTGAGCCTGCTATGGTCACCATAACAATTTCCCGCGATGAGTATGCTCAGTTTATGTCTCAATAATGGCCTTCAACCTCATCTTCCATGGTTTCCTTTGCCCTGCACCTGCATGTCTCTTATCCTCTTGTCAGAGTCCCTGGATTCTTGACTCTGGCGCATCTGATCACATGACTGGTAGTTCTCATCTCTTATCTGATTTGCAGTCTATTCCTTCCTCTCAAAGTGTTACTCTTGCTAATGGCTCCTCAACTAAAGTTTTGGGTGTGGGAACCACCCAACTCACCTCTTCTATGTCCCTTTCCTCTGTATTATATATTCCTCAATTCCCTTTTAATTTGATGTCCATTAGTCAAATAACTAAATCTCTTAATTGTTCCGTTACATTTTATTCCTCATGTTGTATTTTTCAGGATCTCAAGACGATGAAGAAGATTGGTACGGGACATGAAGTAGGTGGCTTGTATTACTTTGATCTTGCACCATCTCCCACAGCTCTTCAATCATCTTTGTCTCCTTTCTAGTGGCACTGTCGTCTCGGCCATCCATCATTATCAGTTTTGCAGCTTCAAGTCCCCAGTCTTCGTCTTAGTTGTATTGAGTCCATGTCTTGTGAAATTGAGTAAGCATTGTCATTCTCGTGTCAGCTTAGTAAGCATTGTCGTGTATCTTTCAAACTGAGAGCTAATAATTGTGTTGCTAGTCCTTTTCAGTTAATTCATTCAGATGTATGGGGCCCAATGAAACATATTTCTATTAATGGATTTCGTTATTTTGTGACTTTTGTGGATGATCATTCTCGTATGACTTGGTTGTTTTTAATGAAAAATCGTTCTGACCTATTCTTTATTTTTCAACTATTTCGCAAAGAAATAAAAACTCAATTTGGATGTTCCATTAAAGTTTTACGTTCTGACAATGCCAAAGAATATTTCTCAGACCCTTTTGAGACTTATTTTCATGCTAAAGGCATCATTCATCAATCATCTTGTACTTATACTCCTCAACAAAATGGAGTAGCTAAACGTAAAAATCGTCATCTCCTGGAAGAATGTCGTGCCCTTTTATTCCATTTGAATGTTCCCAAATGTTTTTGGAGTGATGCTGTTCTTACGGCTTGTCATCTTATTAATCGGATGCCTTCGTCGGTGTTACAAGGGAAATCTCCTCATTCTGTTCTATTTCCCAACTCCGCATTGTTTAATCTTACTCCTCGAGTCTTTCGATGTGTGTGTTATGTCCATAACCTTGGGCCTGGTCTTGATAAACTCGACCCTCGTGCCACTAAGTGTGTTTTTCTTGGGTTTTCTCGCACTCAGAAGGGTTATCGTTGCTACAGTCCTCATTTTCAGCGCTATTTCACTAGTGCTGATGTCTCCTTTTCTGAGTCTCTCCCATATTTTTCTGATTCTACTACCCCTCTCGATATTACTCTTGAGCCACCTATGCTAACTGTTCCCTCCCTAGTTCTTGCTCCCACACCTCCTCACTCCATTGTCCACTTGCAGGTTTATACTCGACGTCCTTGACCGCTTACTTCGCTCCCTCCATCTCCTTCAGTGTCTTCGGATCCGACGCCATCTACTTTGCCTGATGATTTGCCTATTGCTCTCCATAAGGGTATTCGTCATGTGTTACTGCACATCCCATTTCTAAC